ACGTTGACGGCAAAAGCAATATCCGGTCGGGTGACTTGAGCTGCAAACGACAAACACCCGACTGCTTCCTTGTATGGCACTGACTTCATTTCTTCCATTTCAGATTTCGTCTTCGGTGCCATCGACTTGTCCAACTTGATGCTTGGATCTGCTGGTGTTGCAACTGGGTGGGCATCGGCCATACCGAAGCGATTGACGATGTCTTCGATGTAGGCTTGTTGATCCAACCACAGCTTGCCTTCTTCACGCTTCCTCGTGATTCTGATGCCAAGACATTGTTGCGCCTCCCCGAGGTCTTTCATTTGGAACCGCTTGTGCAGATGGGCCTTCAGCTTCTTCTTTTGCTTCCGATCGTTTGTGAAAATCAAGAGATCGTCGACGTAGATAGTCACAAACATCATCTTTCCTCCACGGATGCACCAGTACAAACAGGGATCCACGCTCGACCGTTTCAGTCCGAACTCCTGCAGTACCACATCCAACGGCGCGTTCCATACGCGGCTGGACTGCTTGAGACCGTAGAGGGCCTTCTTCAGTCTGCACACCTTTCCATTCGATGCATCGAACCCTTCTGGCTGGAGCATGTAGATCTCCTCGTCCTTCAGCTCGCTCTGCAGGAATGCAGTGACCGCGTCCATTTGGTCAATATCCAAGTTGTACCGCACCGCCAGTGCCATCAGATACCGGACGGTCGCGTACCGCACGACCGGGGAGTACACCTCGTCGTAGTCCAGACCAGGTCGTTGAGAGCAGCCCTTCACTACGAGGCGGGCCTTGTACCTCTGGATGGTTCCGTCGAGACCTCGCCTCGTTCGGTACACCCACTTGTTCCGAATTGCTTTCCGCCCTTCAGGCAGATCGGTGAGCACCCACGTGCTATTCTCGCTGAGGGATGCAATTTCCTCACGCATAGCCGCAATCCAATGATCTCGGTTCGGCCGCCGCAGAACCTCATCGTAGCTCGTCGAATCATCCATCGTATCATCGTCGCTCGTCGTGTTGAAGGATAACTGAGGGTAATGAACACCACCAGAAAAGGAACCGTAACTAATAAAGTCATTATACTTGCCTGGATTACGGCGCTCCCGACCGCTGCGCCTTAACCCTTGCTGCAACTCAGCTGGTCTAATCAGTTGCGGTGGGAGCGCAAAATCGGCACAGGCATCCTCGAATTCGTCTGCCTCACTGGACGAACTGTCGACAACGACGATGTCTTCCTCCGTTGTTTCGGTTTCACCAGGATTGCCACCCGGTTGATCGATAACAACAGCAGGCCCGGCTGCACCAGGTACGACGATGCCATTCGGTTGTTCGCCTAGAGGAAGCACAGCGTGTTGACCATCTTCAGGAGTATCAGCTGCACCGGACTCAGGACGATCATGGATTTCATCCGAACAAAGCTCCATGAACTCCACCGGCTGCACTCGTTGTTCTGCCATACAGATAGCGACGCCTTCTTCCAGTACCATGACATCTCGGCTAACGTGGAAACGATCATTCTCTGGATCATACACCCGGTAACCTTTCGTGTCTTCACAATAGCCGACGAAAATGCCTTTCTCGGATTTGGGATCAAACTTCTTCCTTTTCGCTTTCGGTACCAGAGTCATCACGCTCGAGCCAAAAATCTTGAGGTGCTTCAAATTCGGCTTCTTTCCGGTCCACGCCTCTTCCGGCGTTTTCTCTTCCAGGGAACGAGTAGGACATCGATTCACCACGTGAGCCGCGGTCGAAATACCTTCTGCCCAAAACTCTTTTCCCAGCTTCGCATCGTTGAGCATGCACCGCGCCTTTTCAACCAGCGTGCGGTTCATGCGCTCTGCCGCCCCGTTCTGCTCAGGCGTATACGGGCACGTGGTTTGATGTCGAATCCCATCGGACTCCAACACCTTCCGGAAATCTGCATTCACGTACTCCTTTCCGTTGTCTGAACGCAAGATTTTTAGCTTCTTGCCCGTCTGTCTTTCCGCTTTGGCCTTGAACGACTTGAACGCTTCGAGTGCTTGATTTTTCTGTTTCAAGAAGTAAACCACCACCCGCTTGCTTGCATCGTCCAGGAACGTCATGAAATAACGGCTTCCACCCAACGACGAAATCTCCACTGGTCCGCAGAGGTCGGAGTGTACCAACTCCAACAGTTCTTCAGCTCTTGACTCGCTGCTTGGGAATGAACGCCTCGTATGCTTGCCCTCCAGACAGGCAACACATCCTTCTAACGACCCATCTTGGAAATCTATTCCGTTGGCGATTCGCTTGAGCTTCTTCAAACCACCTTCGTGAAGATGCCCCAGACGTCGATGCCAGAGCTCCATGCCACTTGCCAAAAACGACTTCTCTGGCCAATTGACTCTGTAGAGGCCACCTTCCTCGACGCCGGTGACAACCAGATCACCGTCTTCGTGCCGAACTTCGCATCTGTCTTTGGTGAAAATAACAGTTTTGTCCTTTTTGCAGATCGTACTTAAGGATAACAAGTTAGTGGCTAGGTCGGGAATCTTCAGAACACCGCTGACATCGATTCGACCATCGTTGCTGTCCAATACGACTGAACCCTTCGCTACGACCTTCATAGTGGCATTGTTCGCCGTTCCGACGTTGTGGTCCATCTTGACTTTATCGAGAAATTTCTGATCCGGCCGTGCCATGTGGCAAGTGGCACCCGAATCGAAATACCATTCACTGGTGCTGACGTCTCCCATGGCAAAAATGGAACAGAGACCCTTGTGTTTGCTCGCCTTCGCTTGCTGCTGCTTCTCCGGACACTTGGCAGCAAAATGACCCGGCTTCTTGTAGGTGTAACATAACTTTTCGCCTTTGCTACCGTCCTTGGATTCGCTTGGCTTCTTCCGGTTTGCTTTACTGTACAGGGCACCTTCCGCGCCGCTGCTGACCGGACCACGATCCAGCTTAACGTCCTGTAGAATTTTGGATTTCACTGCATCCGCTGTCAAAGCCGCTCCAGAGGCTTCGAGTCCCATTATCATGGGCTCGTACTGATCAGGAAGACCCATCAGCAACATCGCCGCGAGCCAGGAATCGTCCACCTTAAAGCCCACGGATGCAAGCTTGTGGCTTGTGCTCATTAATTCGTCCACGTACGCCTCAACGTTAGCACAGTTGATCAGCCGTACCGACGTAAATTTTATGAGCAGTCCAATCTTCCTGGTTAGTCCACTGTCCTGGAATGCAGATTGCAGCTTCGTCCAGGCTTCCTTTGCTGTAACCGCATCCTGCACCAGACTGTAATTGTAGCTCTCGAGGATTAAGCAAATCGTAGCCAGAGCCTGCAACTTCAAATCCTCAGGAACACCTTCTCCGTCTCCGTCGATGGCAGACCAGCTTCCTTCACGGATTAGGATCATCCGCATCGCAAATGCCCACGTCGTGTAGTTCTCCCGGCCTCTTAGCTTGTCAATGGCTGGCAGTGTCACGGAACTTCTGGTGACTCGAACGCTTCCAGCTTCAGTCCTGCCGTTTCCGTTGGCGCCTCCATCTCCTTGACCTTGCTGTCCGGATCCTAAACTTCCGTCTGTGGACATACTTCTTCTGGTCTTGAAATTTTAGAGTCTTCCGGTTAGGTATCCTGGGCCCATAACCAATTGTAGAGAGTAATTGAAACACGTCTTTATCGGTTGACGTTGAACAGTGGAATGAAAATTTTATTCAGAAACTTAGCAACTAATAACAAGTGCATATAGCGACGCGAATTACTGGGTTGCTACGATCACAATAATATTCTTGCTGAATTAACCGGCTGAGAAACGAACCGAGGAGCCGAAAATTGATTAAAAATAAATGGAGCTTGCATGGGACTTGCCTTCACCAATGGTCACCCAGTCGGTGCTAAATTCAATGCGATGGATCTTTCAAAGGAACCAAATTTCCTGTCCTGTAGCATTAAGTTTTATTTTAAACCACCGCTTTTTATATTTAAATAGCCCCGGTACTTATATAATATATATGAATAAATCATGGCAACGTATTTAGTTTTAATAATCAAAAATAATATATATATATATTAAAGAACAACAATAATAAAACAATCTTGAATAAATTAAACAAAACACAGTCTTAAGTAATTTTTACCCAATGCTCACTCTTCACAAAACAGTTACATTTGACTCAAAAGGAAGTCTTTGCAAATTACTCAAAATTGGATACTTCGCAAATAACTTAATTTTGAGTGGTTGCACTTAGGTATCAAGATGAGTACAAAAGACTTAATTTTGAGTTGTTTCGTCTTTCCGTGTTCACTTACCTTTTTGACAATCCACTTGAATAGAACAAAATTAAGAAGAATGTAAGGTGCCTACATCGGTGCAAATTGAAACGCGTGGGGAAGTTGAAACGGTGTGTATTTCTTACCGGAAGTGTATAATCACTGAGATTAGTTCTAATCTAGTAGTTTGCGATACTACACAATGCATCTCAAAAATAATTAAAGTAAATATTCACTTCCGCTAAGAGATACACGTACCGTTTCATCTTCCCCGCGCGTTTCAACTTGCCACGGTGTACCTTACACTGGAGGAAAATGGTAATAATAACGACCAGACCCAGTTATTAGAAATTCGTAATAATTATCCATCACTGAGTTCTCGGAACTAATTCCACTTCTTCACGAAGCCCGGAAGCCTGAGGTTTCCACGAAATGCTTAACTATTCCACCGCATGGTTCCACATTTATTTATTTCACCAACTAGCAATAAATTTTCCTCTCTATGAATATTCATATTTTCATCTGTAGTTATGGTTCCTCCAGCAGGCGGCAAAGCAGTGACAACAACAGTCAAATTGTTCCTTTAATGACCAATGCGGTTGTTGAGGAAAAATTCTGCAGACAAGCAACAATTCAACCGACACTCTGGGAAAGCAGAATAACAACTTCACACCTAGTAACGCCATAACTCTTTAGGGATGAATTGACCATTGGCATGCGATGTTCTCTGGCTGTGAATTATCATCTACGTTGTTTGAGTAGTATAATCATGTCGAAGTAGTTTTTTTTTAACATCTGTGTTTTGACTTTATTATCGAAAGCATCTGTTTTAAATTGCCATGCACTAATCTGCGGTAATGCTGTGCTACATCTAGCATTTTTTTATTCGCCTAATAAAAACGTACGTACGTCCAAGAATAATTTAAGGATTATATATTTGATAACATTAACCATAATATGTGTACTTTTACTTGTTTGAGAGATGAGTAAAAATAGTGCTCTTAGATTCCATCCTGTTCCCAGTGGACCTTTATAAAGTTGATCAATCCATTGGTGGATGAATCGTGAGAGGTAGTTTTGTTAGGATTATTCAAATCGACTTCGATGGCCTTGGCCAATGCCTTGCCTAGTTCGACGCCCCACTGGTCGAACGAATTCACATCCCAGATGACGCCCTGGGTGAAGATCTTGTGTTCGTACAAGGCAATCATTGCTCCCAGCACGAATGGGGTAATCTTTTTAACCAGGATCGAATTCGTCGGACGATTACCAGTGAAGACCTTATGAGGTAGCAATTGTTCCAGTTTGTCTCCGGACATGCCGGCACTCTCCAGTTCAGCACGGGCCTGGTCCTCAGTTTTGCCCATCATCAGTGCTTCCGTCTGGGCCAAGTAGTTGGCAAGTAGGATCTTGTGCATGCCTCCATGCTCCACCGGATTGTGGGTGAAGACCGGAGCGATGAAGTCGCACGGAATCAGACGGGTGCCCTGGGAATAAAAAGTAGAAATGTTAACGTAATTGCCATTTTCGCACAAACTCCGCAAATTGAGCTTTCAATTTACATTTCCTCTATTTTAAGATGCATGTTCACACCTAGTTATAAACACCACAACATACCGCACATTTAGCACTATCTTTAATAGAGATGATAGTGACTCCGCACTGGCAGCCGTAGTTACATAGTTTACCCAACGAGCATGCCATGTTTCACTTCCACAATTTTACTCCCGTTCTGTGTAGTAAAGTCAGCTTTAGGGCAAACATTTCAATTCATTACCACAACAGGAAGGGGGCACGCGATAACCATCTCCAACTAGTGGTGGTTGAAATTAACATAAACCCATTCGAGATTTCCACACTTACCGACCAGCACGAAATAACAAATTCCAAGAAGCCATATTTCAGCTAGTGGAAGGGAGTCCTTAAAAAAGTTAAAATTCCTTCACTGCTTGGTAACCATCCGAGTTCCATGTGGTACCTCGGTTGTTAATCGCCACCCTCATCGTCTGAGTCGGTTGCTGGCTGACCGATGGTGTGATTTCGATAATGTATCGCACTTTCGCACGCTTGGCGATTCCTGGGTTGGCAACCAGGCGTAATGACCCCACATCGTCGTCGTCGTCGCCACCATCAAGGCAAGTGATTAAGCGCACCCCCACTCACCACATTAAGACGATGCGAAGTAAAATTCACTTTTAAGGCCGGACGTAGCCTCCCTTCCTCCCACTTGTTTAAACAGTGACGGATCGTACATCAGCTCCCTCCGAGGCCCAAAAAAAGTTAGTATAGGTTCCAACACTCGCATGAAATGGAACTATAAATGTAATCAAAAATCAACTCGAGCGTGGTGTAGAGATTGAACAACTCACATAGAAGGTGAAAAGGTCAGCCATTTACATTTTGCCTGAAGGTACCTCGGTGCGAGTCCAAATGCCTATTCGGAAGTAAATCACTAATCAAGAGCGCCGGTGTTCCGTCCGACCGTGAAGTGAGTGCGAGCTAACTGATCCAAATACTTATTCAGATTGTACAGAAAATATCGTCTGATATTTACATTTCAAATAGATTTATGATAGACCTAACAATTTCGTTGCTATAAATTTAAGCTGGCGTGCTGATTAGCACCACCAACATGTACCTACTCATGGAATCATGTTCGAAGGCCATAAACGTAACATGGCACTTTATTGAACACTTGGATTCTGGTACATGGCCTCTATTGGTGTTAACTGTTTATTCAGGATTCTTGTTTAGAAGTAGAGAATATTAATTCATCATTTTCACGTTTTGCCGTTATTTTCACAGTTGACCAATGTTGTTGTACTATTTTATGGAACATTTCAAATGTTCAAATTGGTATAACCTCGGAAAATTGAGGGCACAGATCTCAAAATTCGAATCCAAAAATGGTACAGAAAGCTTTCAACTAACAACCGTGGAAGTACGCCAGGAGCACTAAGCTGAGGGTAAGCGCTCAGCTCCAGTTGGTATTTTCTTAATATTTATGAAAAAGAATAATGAACTGAATCTTTCGGATATCGTTTGCATTCATAAATAATACATTGCTAATAAATTCTTAATAATTAGACTTGTGAAATTGCGGATACAGAGATTCAAATTAGTCGTCATGATGTTTCCCTACCCAGTATGGTAGCTAGTGCTCTAGAATTTGCCCCTTGATAGAAAATTGTAATTCTACTTCACTGACGGGTGAACAAACTAGTAGGTTCAGCATCGTGGTACTGTTTACAAGCACTTAGATTTCGTGATCGAAAAATATCGAGGAAATGCGCGGTGTAAAGAGATTGCTCGTTGATGTGTGGTTTAACCACCGACGAACCGACGTGACAGCTCATAGAAGCAACTTTCAAAATTTTACCCAAGACGCCACATTTAAAATACATTAAACACTATCGCCATCTACTCATCCGATCGCGACATATCATGAGCAAAGACACGAACTCACGTTAAATTTAAATTGACTTGGGTTTAACATCCACTGCAGCCTAAAAATTTATCGAGTCAAAAAAAATAATAAGTCCGTGTAAAGTTCATCTGCTTGAGGTTAACGACTGAGGTGCAGAACCTTATACCACAGACAAACATACATAACACTCGCAAGTTGTTCATCGAACAAGCATTTAACGGTCAATTTAACAGTATCGTAGTTGGTAGTATCGCCAGCTGTGGCGTGCATAGTCAATTCCCTTGCGTTTGACGTTGACACACTACCACCACCTGTTACGCCGTACTGCCCACCACAGTATGGTCAACAGACAGTGGTAATGTTTTAGCGACGATGTTTTACAGTGAGAAATATTCAATGTGCTATGTCTGTCTGTCTGTGCTTATACTTTTAAGTTTTTAATAGGAGTAGGCTGTGCGTGCGTACGGACGTGATTTTTGCTTTCTTTGTCGTGTTTGAAAATTTGTTTTTTTCCTTGGTTTGTTTTCCGTCGATCTTGTTTTCCGTGCTGAGCACCAATGCTACCGACGCCAGGAAGGCAGCTCCCACACCTGGACCCTACATATCGACCCATCAACTCATGAACCGGGGACCAACGGCTTTACTTCCCTTCCGAAGGAAGGCGTGATCAGAGATGTTATGCCTCAGAACATCCCGGAGGCGCCGACTGGGATTGAACCCAGGCCTGCTGGGGTGAGATAATCACGCTTACCACTACACCACCGGCGCCGCTTGTTTGAAAATTTGGAAACATTTTAAATTAATAATTTATGTAATTAACCACTTCATTCAAGCAGTTAAAATGACGTTTACTACCACTCGAACTTTGAAATAAATCATTATTTTTAGATTTTTTTTCTTCTAGAACAACAATAAAAGTAGCCATCATTTGTGCGTTACATAAAAAAATAGAAATTAGTTGGTCCAGTTTTGTGGAATCACTGGTAGAACGTCACGCCAAAACTGCTTGACAAAGTGGTCAATTGGAGCACATTTTCCGCGACTCAAAATTCCAGTGATGACCTGTGATCAACTGGCGTGAAATGGTGTTGTTCGGTGTTATATTTATACTTAGGTGCTGATACGGTCAACAACTACCATAGATAGACCTGGATTCGATTGCTCGATTCTGTGTCGCTACCAAAGCCGAGATTCAAGATATTATTCTCACGAGCAGCTCAATTCCTGGCGCAAATGACCAATCATCAGCAACGGAAGATCATCCTTTCGAAACTCAGCGAGTGCACGTGCATCGTCGGTGTGCAGGACCTACAATATCCCCCAGCTTGTTCCTGGGGCCACTGTCAAGCCACCAAACCCTCAACGTCCCATCGTTCAGTGCGATCATGTTAGCAAGGTAGGACTTTCAAGTGTCAGTGTTTCAAGTGCCAGAAGCTTACAGCTGACAAACGTCAAATGGAAATCGGGAATTTGGTTAACATTGGAGGCATTTGGTGAGATCCTTCTATTACACTATATTTTATATAACATTCGTTACATTACATATTACTGTTACATTCACTCATAACCTAACTCGGAGCGTTTGGTTCGGTATGTCCACGCATCCTTCCATCCCTGAAGATTCACGAAATGCATCGCTGTTTGGACCGCCATATTTGACGCGTTCCTAATGATGACGCATTCGTCATCATTTTGACAAGATATTTTTTTAAACCTTGTAACACCATCATCCCTTAGAGCACTGAAACTAATATTTGCAGAAGTAACATTTCAAAAATAATTATTTAAAATAGTCGAACGTTATGGAGTGCGTCGATTTAGGAACTGCTTCGAATATGGTGCCTCCACGGTTGATTTGAACTCGAATCCTTTCACAGAATCATCTTTGCGGCAAATGCAACGCAGTAGGCCTGGCCGTTTCGATGTTTGTGTCATATCTCAGATATGCAGCAAACATCAATGATGACAAGAAAAAATATTAGGTTTTATCTAACCTAATGATTTTCCAGGATGCTTTCTCGTACTGGTTGCGATTGTATTAAGCGAACCCCACCCGTATCAATATATTGACGCGACGGGGAATTATCGACAATAATATTGATGATGTGATTACATAAATATTGTCAATACCGATGTATTGACTTCAATATAGAAGGTATTGACAATACGGTTATTGTCAATAAAAGCAATCGTGTAGGGTCCACTTTAGATTAGATTATATTAGAACCTTATACTTTCATGGTTTGAGCTTTGAGACACAGGGTGGCCAGTGAATTTTTATTTTGAAATTCCCGTCTTTTCCCAGTTGAAATCTAAAAAATCTCCCGATTTACCATATTTACCAAAAACAGAAGTTTTCAACGAGGAGATTTTTTTTTTAAACGTGACCAAGCGAAAATAAAAAAAAAATCTATGATCGAGACCTCTTATTTATGCAAAACCCCTGAACTGAGTCATATTTATGGTCACTATTTTTTTCCGTCGATCTTGTTTTCCGTGCTGAGCATCAATGCTCACTAGGCCGAACGCTATTGGACTGAATGGGTCATTAGACTGAACAAGTGAGGAATTGAATTGAGAAATTGTTTTAGCAATCAAGAACTTGATACAAATGAGATCTAGGGAAAATTGTTGGAAATATCGAAGTAAGAGAATGTTTTAACACTATTGAGATTATGTATAATCTATGTCTTCTTGAGATTCTCCGATTTTCTGTAATTGTCTGAAGATTTGATTTTTGATTCTCCTGAAATACTTTTGGAATTCGCTAGTATCCTCCTTAGAGTACTTCGGAAATCTAAATGCTGATATTTTCCAAAATGTCTCTATGGATTCCCCAAAATTCCAATCAAGGTTTATTTCAATCAGAATAATTTATTATGTTCTTCATCTCCTGTTAGAATTCCATGGAATTTCGATTGGGATTCTTTAGAATGACACTTGAAATACTCTAGAATTCCATTTTACTGACCAGACTAACTCTGGTGATTCACAGAACGTCTTCTGGGTTTGATTGGTTGGTTGTGGGTAATGATATTCAGCAATCCATCCTGAAATCCCCCAGAATCACAATGAAGATTAATTTCTAGATTTTTTTTTTATTTTGGACATGCAAAAATAATGCACAATAATACACATACAATGAACTTTTTGTCTCTCCATGGAAGTTCAAAGAGCTGTTACTGTTTATTTTTGGCATCAACATTTCTCTAATTTCTTGCTGCTGGTTGATGAAGTATTCAAGCCTTGTTCTTATTAGACGACCTTTTTTCAATCTGTTATTTCTTGAAGTACAATGAACCAAATGAGCTAAAAATAAATATCTTTCATACATTACTCTAAAATGTATAAATTTCAATCACTAAGAAAGAAGTTATAATTTCTATTTTATTTAACAAAATCCTCAAAATATATGGTAATGAAATTACGTTGTTCTGTAGTTTATGCTAATGGCATCTGATTTTAAAATGGGCGTAAAATATACTCCAATATGCTTACTCTTACAGGAAACACATGTTGAAACTGTTGGCTGCAAAATGAAAAATCAATGCCGCTAAATATGACACTTCTATCTGATCTCGATCTTGGGTTATCACTAGAAGAACTTTATTTGTACTCTGGTGTCATCTAGTGGGGCCTCCCTTCAGAGCGTAAAACTATTGACTGCCTAGACTGAGTGTGAAAGAACTGCACTATTCAATCCATTGCTCTGTGCAGACCGTTTGTACCGTTTGTACCAAACGGTAAAGGACGAGGCAATGAAAGAGCCAACAAAAACATTCAGTCACTCACGAACAGGCGACGCAAACCGCTTGCCTTCGCTCACATAGCTGAGTCATTTTTCTATAGAAAATGTACGCTCAGTCATTCAAAACATATAATATTGGGTACCATCACGGCAGAATAAACGTGTTGACTGAGCTACTGACTGAGTGCTCGGCTGTCAGTGACTCGTTTACCTCTCAATCATTCAGACTCTCACGAGGCAGTGAATGATGACCCTAATAAACAAATACCATAAACGAACTGTATCCCGGATGGGTAAACTATCCCACAAATGGTTTGGATGATGATACCCCGTTAAGCTCTCTTTTATGGTTATTTTTATTAGGGGAGGCAGATGGCAGTTCATATTCATATCAAAATGACTCAATGAATCTGACTGTTTTGCGCACTGCCTCCCTTAGCTCGGTCGGTAAAGGCGGTAAAAAAGCTAAAAAGCAAAAAAGCATGCTGGAGGTGGCTGGGTTCAATTCCCGGTCCGGTCCGAGGGGGACGATGCAGAAAAGATTGTGTTTTGCTGTGACTAGCTGCACGCACGCTGAGTAGATAGATGGAAGATTTATGTCGATTTTGAAGATTTCCTGCAAAAAGATGAAGCACGATGCAAGTAGATGCGAGAAATGAAAGATGATTTTTCGAAGATTGATTCGCTAGTGTGAGATTTTTTGAGCATCTAGAATTGAGATTCAGATGTGTCGCCCCCCTCGGTCTGGTCTAGGTTTTTCGGGTTGGAAAATTTTTCGACTTCCCTGGGCATAGAAGTATGTTTGGACTTGCCACACAATTATACTAATGCAAAAATGGTACAAGCATCGAAAGCTCTCTATTAATAACTGTGGAAGTGCATCTAGAACACTAAGTTGAGAGCACGCTATAAGCTAATATGTGATATGCAATAAGGGTTGATGCATATATTATGTCACGCTCTAGGGGGGGTGGTAGGTTGGTCTAAGATTTTGTGACAAGCAATGCATTAGGTATAGGAAAAACGTCACCAAAAAAGGGGGGGGGGGGTAAATTTCTCCTCGATTTAGCGTGACATAATTAATGCATGGGCCCTAAGCTTGAAATGCGAAGAAGAAGAAGAAGGTGTCACCTAGGAGTCAATTCTCACCAAAAATGTTCACTGCTGAACGGGTGTTGTCCATTTTAACAACTTTGTAGATGATATGAGACTTTTATCTGATCTTGATTCTGTGTTATTAATGGAAGAACTTTGTTTGTTGGCGCCACTTAGTGAATCAATTCTGAACTAAATTGTCCACTGCCTAGTTAGTATAGTTCAAGAACTATAACTAGAATTGTACGCCGTGTACTCAGTTCATGAAGCGACTGTCACACACAGCCCAATTAACCAACAAGCCCGCTAATTCAACTTTTTTGCAATATAAGGTTAATAAAAAACTTAGCATGCCCTATGTCAGCCTTATATTGCCAAAAGGCGAATTAGTGGGCTTGATGGTTACTTGGGAGCTACAGTGTGTTGTTTGTTTCTAAACATCAGCATAATCATATGGTTGGGCATATAAAACAGTCGGTGAGTCGATAGGTAGGGTCCAGGTGTGGTAGCTGCGTCCCTGGCGTCGGTAGCATTGGTGCTCAGCACGGAAAACAAAATCGACGGAAAACAAATCAAGGAAAAAAATAATACCCCGTTCATTCTTCAATCTATACTACGTTATATAGGTTTATCTTGATATAAGAATCCAGACATAAAGTTTTCACTGTAAATAATTAGAATGACATTTGATATCAAGATACTCTACATAAAATTATATATGGACGGGATAACTCTTTTTGAATGAGGGATCAAAGAATGCCAAGCTTGTTCGAAAATTGATGCTATCTAAAAGGAACAGATTTCTGATTGCGAAAATCACGGTTGGTTCAAGAATCACTATAAAAAAAGAACACTAGCGTTTAATTCACGAAACTATGAGATAGAGAGTTCAAAGCAACATAAAAGCAATTTTTTATTCCAGGGAGAAATGCAATACTCCTGAGTAACAATTTTGGTTTTATCATATTTAGATCGTGATTTGTACTTCCAGAATGCTTATAAACTTCGATAAAACTTATCATGCTGCTTGGGTAGTATGCATTTAAAATTCTATCACACGATCAACGTTGTAGCGTTCGAGGTGCTTTATAGTGATATGAAAAGTTCGGTGGCTTGTTGGTGACCGCTTTTGCTTACTTACTTGGGTTCAATCTCAACGGCCTTGATATTAGAGAGTAGCGAGGGTCGCATCGATTTCTTAATGTATAGTATCAACTTTTAGTAAAAAATTTAAACTTTTTTTCGTCCGAACTTTTCGTAACTTGTGCATAGTAAACAATTTTTTGGACTAAAGAAACTGTTTTTCTGCAAAAAAAAAACAAAAATAAATTATTGGCAAAAAAAGTTTAAAAATTTACCTAAATGTTTGATTTTTTGCGATTTTTGTCAATTTTAAAGTGTCCACTGACTCCCATATCAGAAAATTCAGTATTTTTGATGAGCATGATTGACCGCCCACGGTTGCTGCTCTGTTATTACCAGATCAGCTGCAATTACACAGAGAACCAACAGATGATGTTTGGGACTAACATTCATCCTCAATGTGTAAGAACTGGAGATCTAATATTTAGCAATACCAGCGCCGGCCGTGTCCGAATGCAGGTCAACTAGGGAATTGGAAGGAATGTGTTGACGTGGTACTCGCTGTGAAGGAAACCGAGAAATCCTCTGACGGATTTCACGCCAACTCATCCAGTGGTTGGCAGCACCCTCTCAGAACCTTATGGAACTTTGTGGGTGTGGAGACTTAGCAATTTTAAGCAACTTTGCGTACTTATTTTTTTCAAAATTTATCTCGCCTAACATTTGATAAGGGTCAAAGTTTTTTGTCGATTTTTTTTTCAAATCGATATAGCTTAAAAATGACAAGCCCTACAAAAAAGTGATGTATGGCGAACTTTTAGCAAATAATCTGAAATTTTATAAAAAAATTTAAATAAAATAAAAAATCGGTTTCTACACTCTAAAAAAATATATTTAAAAATTAAAAGTCATTTTCCCAAAAATGGTACCCCTCAGATTTGCTTGATATTTTTTCTCATGAAAGGCAATATAATTACCTAACTTTTCTTCATACATCGCAAAGTGGGCGCTTTTAAGGAAAAAAAGTTGTTCGAACAACAACTTTTTCATGTTAATTTTTTTTCAGCGTGTTTCACTCAAAGTCGAATAGTAATACGCGCACAACCTTATTAAAATTCGATTAAACTTTATGGGTATACTTTTCGATAATCTGGGCGAAATCTAGCCTAACATTTGAAAAGGGTACAGAGAAGTTACCTGCAAATCGTCCAATAAGAGTTCAGAACAAAACGTTCTAATGAGGAACAGCCATCTCAGCATGGTTTGCACTTTCCTGTGATGGATTGTATTATAATATATGCATACACTCTATCCAACTTCTATAAAACCACCCTCAAATTGTTCCAAATCAACAGGTAAACTAAGTAAAAATCACTTAGTATGTTTTATTCATGAAAAGATTTCAATTCATGTATTTGTGATTAATTTAATTAGAAAAATAATCATTCATTTATTTTTATGTATTAGGTGTGTCCATTAGTAAGCAATATGCATATATGTTTATACCTCATCTCTCAAGTGAATACATATAATAGCGCAGGTAACTTAACGATTATTTAAGGCATGCCTAAAATAATCGTTAAGTTACCTGCTATATAGCAGTTATATAACAACGCAGGTAGTCACATGAGAGATATAAGGTATAAAATTAAAGCACCGCAGTCTGTTTCTACCGACATAATCTAATATTTAAGTTTGGTGATATCACAACAATGCTCATAGTTGCTGTAGTGCATAGTTGTTGAAAGTGTAGTGCTGCATAGTTGTTGAAACGAAAAAGTGTTTATATATACAACAATGGAAAAATCTGCTGAATTGATTATTAAAAGGGTGCAATGTAGTGCCAACATAAACAATCCCAATTGCAGCCGCAATAATTTACGTAATTTATCATCAAGTCTCATAGAGATAATACATTCATGGGGCTTTGATCATCAATTGGATGTAACAATGCGTATTTGTGAATCGTGTCGTGGAATTTTAGTGCACAATAGGACACCTCTCCCGAAAAAGAGGCGATCGGATGGAAAAGAATCAAGCCATGCTCGGAAGTTTGAAGAGCCGCAACCATCAACAAGTCATCAGCAATCAGAACATCAGGAATTTGATGATACACTAGGTAAATAATAATAACTTTAACTGTTTCAACTGTGTGGTTTAAGGATTGTACATCGAAGATACAACTTCATTTTCAACATTTTTTTAGAGCACGAGCTGGATGAACCGCTTATCGTACAAATTTGATCGATTGGTAGGCCAACCTCGGTGAACAATCTATCAAATTTTCACGACTGTACGATATGCGGTTTATGCAGCTCGTGCTCCACAAACATGGGGAAAATTCAGATGCGGCTTCGATGTACCGTAAACGGGGATGTCTTTGATAATGGAGGTAACTTTGATAATGCAGCTAATCCAAAAAGTTATGACTTAATGCTCTTCGTATTCATTATTTTGGAAGGGAACATCGGTTTCCTATCCAAAATATTGCGTACGATGTGCCTTAAGTCATAAATTTTTGGCTTAGCTGCATTACCAAAGTTACCCCTATTATCAAAACCACCCCCGTTCATGGTACTATCACCTTAACAGCGTTATATATTAATGTGTGGTAATATTTTTTTTTTCTTTTCTTTAATTTTACAGATACAGATCCATCGCTAGAATCAATCCCATCAGCGGATCAGATCCAAGGTCCATATAATGTGGAACAATTCAATTGTATAGCTTCAACCTTACAGTTATCACCAATTTCATCGAGAAGTATGAGAAGTATGAATTATCAAGTTCAAAAATCTGCAGAGATCACAAAGGCAGTGCGTAAAAATATATTTGGGATGGATTCAGACGATGTCAACAAATCAAATGATTTTGACGAAATGATCATGCAGTTAAAGGAGAAATTTAATTTGCCTTCTACGAGTACAAATGACAAATTAAAAGTGTTATCAGTGCTCCCTAAATCATGGTCAGTGAATCAAATAGTTAATGAGTTTAATGCACCCCATCATACAGTGAAACAGATGAAAAGGCTAGTCAGAGAACAAGGTATTCTTTGTAGTAAGAAAGCAAGAAGTGGTCATGGATTTAATGATACTGAAAAACAAATTGTTTTAAATTTCTTTGACAGTGATGATATTAGTAGGCCTATGCCAGGAAGTAATGATTATGTTTCTGAATATCGAAATGGATATAAAGAGCATGTTCAGAAACGTTTATTGATGATGTCTCTTAAAGAGGCTTTTATGATTTTTGAAGAGAAATACAAAAGTGTTAAAATCGGATTTACTTCGTTCACTCAGCTCCGACCAAAGCATTGCATACTGTTGGATTGTACAGGAACACATAATGTATGTGTCTGTACTATACATGAAAATGTTAAATTGATTATTAATAGTGTAAAATTTGATTCATATAAAGAAATTGCAGACAAAATACTTTGCAGTAGTCCTATTAGAACCATAGATTGTTTTTATCGTACATGTGAAGAATGCATTTCCACAGATAGTATCGTGAGGGAACTTACATCAGTATTAGAAGCAGATGATATGGAAGAAGTTTTATTTCAACAGTGGTTGACTACCGACCGTTGTAATTTGGAAACTATTATTAAACCTGCAGATGAGTTTGTTCAATATTTGACGGAAAAAGTTGAAAAGCTCATAACCCATGATTTTATTCATAAAGAGCAATCATTTTACCGAAGTAATAAAAAAAATTCTCTTCAAAACGGTGAAATTTTAGTGATTTGCGACTTTTCTGAAAATTATTCATTTATTATTCAAAACTCAGCACAGGGGTATCATTGGAACAATAATCAAGCTACGATACATCCTTTCGAAATTTACTACATAAAAGAAAACAAGTTGGAAAATTTAAGCTTTATTATTATTTCAGAAGTATTGACCCATGATACAATAGCAGTTCAATTATTTATATCAAAATTGTTAGATTTCATTAAACAATCTATTAGTTTCACAAAAATTACTTTCATGTCAGATGGAGCAGCGGCTCATTACAAAAATAAAAAGAATTTTGCCAGTTTGTGCAACTTCAAGTCCAAGTATGGATTGGAAGCAGAATGGCACTTCTTCGCAACGTCTCATGGGAAAGGCCCATGTGACGCAATTGGAGGAACTCTCAAACGAATGGCAAAGAGAGCAAGTCTTGCTCGAGATTATGGAAACACAATCACAACTCCACAAGAACTGTATGACTGGGCAGTTAAACAAACAGATACAAGCATAACAAAATTGAACTTCTGCTTCATATCAAATGATCAATACACAAAGATGTCCGATGAACTCAAGGAGCTGTTCAGTCATGTAAAAACTATACCTGATACACAAAAATTTCATTGTTTTGTACCTATTTCTCAAAACATAATTTCTACTAAGCGATTTTCACATTCAAAGGAAACTCCGAAAAATTTCACTCTGTTTCCGATAGAATAATAATCAATGAAAAACTCAAATTATGTATGGAGAATTATAGGAAAATAAATTATGCACTAAACAAAAACACTAGAGTTTTCATTTATTAAAACACCATTCGAAATGCAGGAAAATCCTCTGTATTAGGCCCTTTCAAATGTTAGGCTAGATTTTTGTTTTAAGCACGCCCAGATTATCAAAAGGTCAAAATCTTTATGCTCATTAAGTTTCAACGGATTTTAATAAGGTTGTGCGCGTATTACTATTCGACTTTGAGTGAAACACGCTAAAAAAAAATTAACATGAAAAAGTTGTTGTTCGAACAACTTTTTTTTCCTTAAAAGCGCCCACTTTGCGATGTATGAAGAAAAGTTAGGTAATTATATTGCCTTTCATGAGAAAAAATATCAAGCAAATCTGAGTGGTACCATTTTTGGGAAAATGACTTTTAATTTTTAAATATATTTTTTTAGAGTGTAGAAACCAATTTTTTAATTGATTAAAATTTTTTAATAAAATTTCAGATTATTTGCTAAAAGTTTGCCATACATCACTATTTTGTAGGGCTTGTCATTTTCAAGCTATATCGATTTGAAAAAAAAAATCGACAAAAAACTTTGACCCTTATCAAATGTTAGGCGAGATAAATTTTGAAAAAAATAAGTACTCAAAGTTGCTTAAAATTGCTAAGTCTCCACACCCACAAAGTTTCATAAGGTTCTGAGAGGGTGCTGCCAACTCCGAAGACGAGTTGGCGTGAAATCCGTCATAGGCGCTTCCACGAGAAATCACTGGGATGTTGGATGTGGGGAAAGGTTGCACACGCACACGCAGGGATCGTTTTTGGTAGAGCGATTATAATACACAAACACACATACACACACACACACGCGCGCGCACACATCAAATTTCTATTTTTAGATCAGGACCCATACTATGGTAAGTGATGCGATCGGTGTTAAAGAAGAATTTGTTTTCATTAAAATCTAGTGGGTATAGAATAAGGCAAAGTGAAAAATTGCAAGGAAGGGGACGGGCCTGGGATTTAACTCCCGACCTTCTGCTCAGTAAGCAGAAACGGTAACCACTGAGCTACCGAGCCTCGTCAGAAAATTCAGTATTTTTGATAAGCTTTTAAATAAACATTATTTTAAAACTCTTAAATATGCAATTTTTTGCTATTGAAGTTTTTAACAGTTTTTTTTTTAATTTATTTTAATTTGTGATTTTTTTTTCTGTAAAGGCAATTCAATTTCTTACAACTTTGTCTCAGACATCATTTTGATAATATGAGCCATTTTCGCGCTGATTTATTGAAAAATATCGAATACGTCATTTTGAAGAATTAGGTTCAATTAAAAATAGCCGAATTCCAGCACAAACTTGGTTTATTGCTCCCAGCGAACAATTATACAAAGTTTCGTGGAATCCGGAGAGGGTAAAGTACACGGAACGGAAATTAATTATTGTATTATTAAATTTTATTTATTTATATTTCATTTATACATTTTAGCCAAAACATCAGCCTTATGCATTACATAAGACAAACCACATAGGTCCTATAATAATACATAAACGGTATGTGTGACTATTTATTCATTTCATTTGACACATGATCTTCATTAACTTTTTGCAAGACGTCTGCTTATTAGTTGACTTAAACATTTTATGAATAATTAGTAATAGAAATTTGCTAAAAGGTATCAGTGGATTTCTATCCGTGTATGATCGGTTCGTCAGTTGGCGTGGATTTGCTCATATGGAAGATTCAGTGTGCGTTCATCCGCAGTAAATAAGGTATGAATGTTAACCACTATGCCGGTCCCGACCTTATAATTTTAGTTAGGATCCACTAATTGAACTTGTTTTCTTTTGTATAAGTCAGTTCAAATACCTATAAGACGGCAATCGTATGTCCATTAGGGTGGGTCAATTTTGCATGGTGGATCACAACCGCTTGTTCCCCACAGCTCTTCCGATACGTATTGAGCTCCCCAACAACGGTGCTAAATTTGAACAAATTTGGTTAAGATCTGCATTTGCGGGAGAATTTTAAATTTTGTTATGAGAAAATGTATGAGGAACGAAACAAACCTATTGATTTACTTGACAAAAAATAAAATATTGCTTTATGCAGAACAACTTATTATATAAATTTAGACCTATTGCACCGCGCATACCTCCGGCCGTATATATGAGTTTGTATGAGAAACACTTGGTCTAAAGTGAAGGTAACTTTTTGTACAAAGATCAAAACGATGTGCAATCTTGGACAAGGTTGTTTTGTATAGTATTCTCAAACTAAGTTCTAGATTTGGTGAAATTTCAGCAATATTTGGATTGTTGTAAGCAAATGAATAGGATGGTTTCGTTTGCCATACATTTCCCTATACAAACATTAAAATTCTCCGGCAAATCGAGATTATAACCAAATTTGTTCAAATTTTGCACAGTTGGTGTGGACCTCAATACGCATTGAAAGAGCAGTGGGGAACAGGGGATTGTAGAGTTGATCCACCCTAATGTCCATACAAGACGGCCATACATTGACAGAAAAGCACCTGTATAAAATCATACCCGCAAAGTTTCATTGGAATCTTGGTGCTTTCCTATCTTTTTAATATTTGTCTCACAAGTCCTGTTAAGTGCTAAGACAAATTTTGTCGTCGCTCGTTGCTGACCAGTGAAATCTGATTAAATACTTCACCCACAATATATCGTGCTATTTTGAGAAACCTTTTGTACATCAATATCATTGAATCAACAACAAACGTTGTTGCACTCAACCCATTTTTTTTAATTGACGGCTGATAGCCATTTTTCTGTGTGAAGCATACGTTCTAGATATGTTTCATACTTGCAGCAAATTAATTGCAATTGATTCAATCCAAGCAAAGATGCCCCTTTCTGGTTTGACTCCATCATAAAATCCACTTCATTTGAGAGTTGTTACAACTTTATGACGCAAACCATGCAGTCGATTATGAAACATGCGTTTTTTTATTCACTTCCATCCCATATACATTCGCTTCTGCTGCTTGCCAATAAACCACCGTGTGCTGCCAATTATATACAAAAAACATCATCGTCACACTCACCTGATGAATGAGCTGGTAAAAGGCGTGCTGTCCGTTGGTTCCCGGTTCGCCCCACACGATTGGACCGGTGTTGAAGTCAACTCGTCGGCCGGACTTGGTCACTCCCTTGCCGTTACTTTCCATGTCACCCTGCTGGAAGTAGGCAGCAAAGCGGTGCATATACTGATCGTACGGCAGCAGGGCGTGCGTCTCGGCACCGTAGAAGTTCGAATACCAAATGCCCATCAAAGCCAGGATAACCGGAGCCTATTGGGAAGAGATTAGTGTGTTTTACACTTATCAGTAACAATGTGCGAACCAATTAAGAATCTTACATTTTCATTCAAGGGAGCACTCATGAAGTGGTTATCCATATAGTGGGCACCGTCCAGCAGTTTTTCAAAGTTTTCAAAACCGATGGCCAGCGAGATGGACAGACCAATGGCGGACCAGAGCGAGTAACGTCCACCGACCCAGTCCCAGAATTCGAACATGTTCTTGGTGTTAATACCGAATGCAGCGACCTTCTCCTTATTGGTCGACAGGGCGACAAAGTGCTTGGCAACATGTTCCTGTTCACCGCAGCGCTCCAGGAACCATGTCTTGGCAGCAGTGGCATTGGTGATGGTCTCCTGAGTGGTGAAGGTCTTGGAAGCAATGATGAAAAGAGTAGTTTCCGGATCCAGTTTCTTCAAAGTTTCTGCGATATGGGTACCATCGACGTTAGATACAAAATGAGATCGAATGCCAGTGTTATAAGCCTTCAGTGCCTCAGAGACCATCAATGGACCCAGATCCGAGCCACCGATACCGATGTTGACAACATCGCTGATTTTCTTATTGGTGTACCCGCGCCACACTCCATTTAAAACTTGATCGGTGAATTCCTTCATATGCTCCAACACGGCATTGACTTCAGGCATAACATCTTTACCATCAACCACGATAGGCTTGTTCGAGCGATTTCTCAGAGCAATGTGCAACACGGCACGATTTTCGGTGATGTTGATACGTTCTCCACTGAACATATCGTTACGGGTTTTGACCACATCACGTGATTCGGCCAACTCGAGCAGCATATTCCAGGCTTCATCGGTGATCCGGTTCTTGGAGTAGTCCAGCAGAATTTCACCATCCTTTGGTGTATTCAACTTCAGGCTGTAATCGATGGTAATAGATACATGGAGCTAATTTTAGCACACGCTGGCAAGTTCATTCACTTTCACTTGATAACATTGTGAGGGTCAAATGTAACAGCAACAGTGCTTATGCACGGTCGACCGAATGCGTACAAACTCACCTGAACTTATCGAAACGGATGTCGTCCTCCTCGAAGATCTTCTTAATGTTAATTAAAGCACCATGCTCCTTGTAGTATTCCTGGATCTGCTGATAGACAGAATCCTCGGACAATAGCACCTTATTGGACATCTTACAGCACTATACAATTTCGGCTTTTGAAAGATACCACACACAAAAGACTAGGTCACAGTGGCTAACAGACTTGTACTAACACTTTGCACTTTTTATCACCAGCACCGTAAAATACTCAACAGTAAGAGACTCAAGCTGCGACCCGTGTGAATCCTTGAAGCGTTGCCCGATGACTGACTGGTCGAGTGGACGCGAGTGTAGCTTGTTCGTCAAGGATCTGGCACCTCAATCTGGGGTGGTCACACACACAGGTTTTTTATCCCTCTGCGTTAATAGAATAAAGTTGTCGAAGAACTAGTAGAAGCACCTCCGGACACGGCAACTTTGGGCTAGTGAATACGGGCAGTGTTTCTTCAATGTCAAATGAATAACATACAACACTCGCGAAAAAAAAAGGAAGAGAGAGCGAGTCCGCGTCGCGTTGCATACGTGCTCACGATAAACGCAAGAGAGAGATTTTCTGGTCTGCGAGAAAACTTACAACAATCTAGCTGTGCTTGGTGCATAAAATTGAAGAGGGATGTAAGTCAAAGCCTGATAAGATATAATCTTTAAATTATTTAATGTTTAATCACCTGCGATATTGCACGCCATGTCCGAGGTGGCGGATTATTCAACATTCATTTACCTCAGGTTTTTCTTCGCCAAAAGTTTGTTTGGGTGCTGCCATTACAAAATCGGTTGATTTTAAAATATTCTATCAGGGCAATTTGAATTATTAAATTTTATCATGATTTTCCATATACACATTCTAGGAGACAGCTCTGAAGAGCCAAAACTTCTCCATATAGGAAGTGTGCCGCTATGCCGCTGTCATTGTGTTCAGCCCTTAAATGTGTCTTATGTTAAATTATCATGACCAACTTGATCTATTTCGTTGAACTTGAACTGTTGTGTATGGAATTAATTTTAAGCATGGTTACACATATAAATTAATGGTGCTCATCTTCCCCCATTCGATATCAGATTTTTGAATTTTCATAATATAATTTATTAAAAGAAAATTCGAATCCACAAAATATTGAACATGGTAACATTATGCTATTGTGGTGGTAACCAATGCTTGAATCATACAAAAGATCTTTAACCTTATATTTTACACCAAATTTTATAATAAAGGGTGTACCGTTTGATATCCGGACACACAAAATTCATTCTCAAAATTCACATTCTCAAATGTGTTCAAATTTACTAATTCCTGTGACCTATGTTTTTACGAATTTAAGGCAACGTGATTCAAATATGAGTCAGATTTATTTATGTCCGTCTTGGAAAATTTTTCTCCTTCCAGAATAATGCGATTTTTTCTTGGACTGCCATCTAGAAAAAATATGCAGGTCCCAGAGTGTTGAAAATTTGAGGTGTTTCAAAAGTTTCAATATCCGAGGACTTATTAAATTCAATTAATTTCTTAAAAACTGTCAACATTATTTGTCTAAATCCCAGAATTTAAACTTTTTTCTCTATGCCTCAATTTTTCGTTCTAATCACCAATTTACGATCTGAATCTAAACTGGCGGGAAGTTGTTTGTTGTTATAAATCGAATCAGAAAAAGGAGTACAGACTGAGGAAATGGACAAAGCACTTCCTTATTGAAATAATAAAATTATTATTTAATTACCTAAAACAAGGTTGATACAAATAATATTTTCATTTTATGTCCGGCATCACCCATATAGGTCGAGGAGGGGCAAATAATAAACAACAAGGGACGAATAAATGATAAATTAATAAATAATTTTTGTAGTTTTAATAAAAAGCGTAGAGCAAAGACGATTTAAAAAAGGGCTAAATTTTGTAATTTTTGGATGGCATAAAACAAAAATAAACTTTGCCTCAGCCTAATCATGGTGACCAGCAAATCCTAATTTGCAATCTACTGGAGTTTTCCCGGTTGTTTCAAACCAGGAAAATGTCTAATTTCTAATTATAACTCATTTAACCGAGTTGACTCTTCGGCTCAATCGCATCTAATTATATTCTTATTATTTTTTTTTTGTGGTGATCACAGTGACATCACTTGCTTAAACTCTACACTGGACCCCTTTTATTGATAAATTTTGCTTCTATGAGCCTCTATTTTAAATCAACACACAGACGTTCCTAGGCTATGGTGCTGATCCAAATAGTTTTGATAATATAATTGCGCATTCTTATTTTTTTAAAAGGTTGATTTTTGTCCCAGTCTTGTCTTCTGTCGTCACTTATTTTATCATTTTGTCTTGTTTATTAACCCCCACTTGTCTTGTTTATTGTGTCAACTTGTGTCTATTGTCCTTCCCCATCTGTTTTTAAACTCGTTCTGTTACTCTGTCATGAATAATTTCATTGATATATGAAAATAGTAATATCAATTACAGGATAATATTTATGGTTGTTTCTCGATTACTTTTTCAAAGGGAAGCACCAGCTCCTGCCAACAATGCATCCGATCGTCGACCGGCGCAACCGGCAACTCACACACGCCTACCAACACCACTAGCAGGTAGAGGAAAATTTCCCTATCTGATGATAGTGCTAGCATGCGTGGGCGAGCCACCAGTTACGCCAATTCAACGACCAAACGCACCAATACCTCAATTAAAACAACAATAAAAGCTTGTCACGCAAGTAGAAAGAGCACTGTTGGGCACTTTCTGAAATATTTCAATAGTATAATTCCCTTGCAAACCCAAATAAATCTATCTGCGTAAAAAAAATAAGAGTGATTTGCGGCAAAACCCGCCAGTATCGCACCCAACGTCAGTGCCTATACGTAAGCGTACTACGACGCGGCTCTCAATCAAAGGAGTAACAAGTGTGATACTATTACTGCTAGACTAGATCTTTGGTTCTGTCATGCAGTGGTTTATCAGAGAAGGGAAGCTTAGTAATCCCCATTTCCTGCTCATGGCGCCATTCTATTGCGGCATGAGCCATCAACGCCGGCCATAAACCTACCGTCCCCAATACTCCACTAAAAAGCATGCCCACCAGCAACAAGGTGCAAAACTAGCCAAGGGGAGGGCATCTAACTATATTCTTAATTTAAATGTCCCACAATCGGGAAATTGCTAAAAGTTTTGGAAAAAATTGTTTGTTTCTCATCAAGAAGTCATCAAGATTTTTCGATGTTTTAACTATCTGGACAAAGTTCGCTCTTTACAGGATTTTTAAGAAATGAATTTCATGTAGAATCATTTCCCATCACAGATTTTTGTTTTTCAGAGTTTCTCTAAAATTAATTTGAGATTCTCTCCGAGAGACCATTGAAAATGCCTACGCAACATTTCAGAATATTACAAAAAGTTCGAGAAATTGATTCTAAGATTCGCTTATATAGTATTCTCTGAAGCTTCCTTAAATAATTCTATTTAAAATTAGCCTGAATTCTCCTTATAATTGCCATGCAATTCTCCTCAAAATTGTCATACAATTTTCCTCATACTTACCTTGGAGCTTTCCTCTAAATTCGTCTTGTAATTCTTCTCTAGATGCTCTTAAATTCTCATAAAACTTATTTCAGAATTCCTTTGCCCTGTCCAAGGATGAGGGGCTTGATGATGATTTGTCAAGTGTCGCTATGATTTTTTTTTGCAATTTGATAAAATTGTAGTTTTTCTCCAGTTCATTGATTTGAAAGGTTCATGCGAGTTAATTTCACGGAGCCGTAAATTGTAGTTTTATCATAATTTTAATATTAGCATAAAATAAAATAGTAATTTTAAATTCGCTTTTGTAATGCTAAGGTACATAGTTTGCTTTGAGTGTAAAGTTAATTTATAAGAAAGTTCTAACAGTTTTTTTTTTGCACTTCGAAACTTGACGGGTCATACCTCTAACATAGTAGCAGTGACAGTGTCGCATGTCCTAACAACAACTGCCTGCGACTAGTGTTCGAGGGGCCGACAGGGCTGAATACGGGTCAATACTAACAAAACTCTAACACTAACATGACCCCGAAACTAACGTTCATCCATTGCACTAATAGTTATAATGTAGTTGTACTTTCCTAATAACCCATCTATCACAGACAAACAGACATAACACTCGGTTGGACAGGTTGTTCATCGAATACGCATTTGACGGTCAATGCGGGTGTGTTTGGTTGGTGGTGCCGCCACCTGTGGCGCGCACGGTCGGTTCCCTTGCGTTTGACGTCTGCACACTAGCGCCATCTGTTCAGCGTACTATCCATCATATGATACTCAACAGATGGCGGTAGTGTTTTAGTGACTATGTTTTGTGGAGAAAAATATTAAATGTGTTATTTCTGTTTGTCTGTGCATCTATGTTTCTTTTTCGTTGTGTGTGTGTGCGTGTGTGTGGGGAGGGGGTGGTTAATGTAACCAATACTAATACCTTTCTTTCTGTTCTTTTATTCGTTTTCTATATCCCTTCACCATCACCCTATATCCCATTATTTTGACGAGAGATGACTTACTTGCATAGTGCATGCCCAAGTCGTACTACAGGATAATATGCTGAGCGTGGTTCTATCACAAATCGATAGAACTGAGGAATAATGAGGTAAATTCTACACAGTATTTTAAAGGAGCCAACTCTAAACAGGTAATAATAGCAATTAATAATCAAACAACCATAAAAAGGTAAGAATGAATTTATTTATTTTAAATACAGTAATGACCCGATTTTGTCAGCCCCTCCGCGCTTCAGATTTTTTTTTCTTTCAATAATTTCACATAATCATAAATCTAAATTTTTCTCATTCGTCATTCGTTAAGAGGGATATTTAAAGTATACTTTGGTGCAATAGGTTCAAGAAGATTATTGAAAAAGGGCATGGGGCAAGGGGGTTGACAAATTCGGGACATTACTGTATTCCATTTACATTTACATGATTTATCACATATTTCCGGAGAGCTTCGAGGTTGGAGCGTAGTTGCTTTTGTAGATGGGCACGTCATTTGTCGGTTTCTCGCGGATTGGGGCTCAGTCTGGAAAGACTAATAACACAAACAGGTAGAAGAATAGTTCCTCTATGATTTTTTATAGTTTGTTTGCAGGATTGTTCTTTTGTTTGCGGGAGGCCGACGATTGACGTGTTTGTTTGCAGGGGCGATTGCGCCCAGATCTCGGGGTTCTCCAGATTTATGGTCGTAATCTAATACACACAGTTGATCACAATACGAGCCTAAAAGCTGCAGTGACCTAGTGAGCACCATAGCTCGAGTCGTCTGAAAGTATTGTGTATCGCATGGAGAGCCCAACCGAGATTCTAGCCTATTAAGACTGCAGTTGGTCAACTCTCGAAAAAAAAAAAAAAAAAACTTATTTCAGAATTCCTTTGGAATTTTCCCCTCGAAATTTGATCGCCTTAGTATTTATCTTGAA